GACGCTCCCACGTCCTTCCCACGCCCCTCCCACGTCCCTCCCACGCCGCGCTCACTCCCAGAACTGCTCTGCCCTGGCGCTGCTCTCGCTCCTATGCCACCTCACCTGGGCTACCTTGACCCTGCCGTCTCCCTGTCTCGCACCTTCCCGCTGAATGCGGATCTGTCCCAGCTCCACCCCTCGTGTGCGCGGCGAAGCAAAGAGCTTAGCACCCCACTCCAGGACGGAGAAGGTCTGTCGCGTGTGTCTCCTACCCGGGAGCCTTCCATGTTACCGAAGCCCCTTAACGCCAACACGCGGCCTATACTATCGCATATTTATCACAAATGCGTTTCCTCTCTCATTTTTCTTTTTAAATATGAACTACTGAAATACAAAAATTATTTTCTGTGAACGCAATACAGAGAAATTACGAGCCCGAGTTTACCGCTAGGTTTCTCGATTTGTGTGTAGCGTCTGAGCATGGTTTGAATAGTCATTTCCGCATGCTCAAAATGGTTATTTTTCATACTTGCGAAAATAATTAAAGATATTGTCTTTGCCAACAATGTTTTTTTAATTCAATAGCAGCTTTCGATGGCTTAGCCATCATCATCAGTTGTCTGCTAGATGGATGCCACAAAACGACTCATACTTGCGAGTGGGAATTTTCTGTGGAGACAGTATGGGGAGAGAAACATTTGATCGAAGTCATGAAAATAACCTCTTGCTCACAACATACGAACACGCAACATTATAAGGTAATGTTGTCCCACAATTTCACAACATTATAATATGATCGAAATATCATGATTGAAAACGAATTATATGCAAATTATATTTTTGGGGAATCTCGGATTCAATAATATTCCATAGAAGTAAGTGGAGTAAAATCTACGATTTGTAACACGACAAGTTGTTCTGCAAATGAAATACAAGGCGCAGACTCAGGATCTCGTTCAACATCTTTTTTTCGTATTTATGCTCGTATTAACTGCACTTCCTCTGTTCTAAAAATAGATAACTGCATAAATGTCTTCTGCGAACATTTTCCCAATTAAATAGTTGTCTTATTAAATAGTCTACTTGAGTGCACTAAATGAAGATAAGTATCATCGCACAAGCGTAAAAAGAACAAGTCGACGCATAAAATGCTTTTGTTAATGATAAAAGGATAGATTTTATGCAATCATATTTTTGAGGGGTATTATATATTGACCTTCACATATTGCTTACGATGCGCAGTATCGGTTTTTTGTACAGTGTGTGTTATATGTTGAGGTATGTTGAGGTTCCTTCTCATCTGGTACATAATGACCAACGCTGACCAACGCGTGGGCTGTAGAAGTGCCTTTCTCTAAATATTTCCCCGACCGGTCTCCAGACCTGCGTGATAGGATAGCGCTTTTAACAATACGTTTAAGGGCATGAGAGGAGAGAACAGGAATAAGGGTTGGAAAAGGAAGATCGTGCACTGTCCATGTCTTCTTTGTTACTGTACTGATGCAACTTCGCCTGATAATGATATGAGAAACTTTGAAACATTAGCCATTAGAGACGTTGCTCACAAGAATTCTCCTGCTTAAAATGGCTAAATTGGGAAAAGGATGTTGGTTGGTTATTAATGATTCTAGACTATTCCACAGCTAAGGTCATCAGCTTCCTAAAAGTAGTGCATGCTGTTTTCCTGGAGATGGGGTGAATTTCCCCGCTGAATAGCGAGATCCAGCGCAGACCTACCATCCGACCCACCAAGTCGTTGTCGAAAATCCCGCCTCCGTCGGGATATCTCACCTCCCGCTCAGACGCACTGCACTAATATTATATTGATACCCTGAGCCACCCCTCCGGTGGGAAGACAACCGAAGTGCTGGGTTGCTTGACCATAACCTAGCTGCGGGCGACGAATGGGGAGCTGCTGCTGAGGGCTGCGGGGGAGGGGCGGAGGGGTCGGCGGCGCCGCGCCGGCTCACTGACATTCCGTCCCGCCCCCGCGCCCCACTGACATTTGAGCCCTCGCGCCGGCCCCCTCCCGGCCCCTCATTATGTGGAGGGCCCTTGCACCCAGCCGACTAACGACGCCACCTCTCCGTTTCCACTCGGCACCTCTTTCCTAAGCTTTTCCTCTCCGCTCCATCACCCTTTTCCACGCACATCGCTCCACCCGTCACTCTCTTTATGTGCGCTCACCGTCTCTGCATTCTCTCCTACTCGCAAACACATTACTTTAACTTTTATGTATCGTAATGCAGGTAAAACGTTTGGTTCTTCTTCTGATATGAAAGTTTCCTGATTCGAGTTTTACGAAGCAATCTGATTCTCCATTCTCTTTCGTGCACTAGGAAATTACCTTTCAACTACATCCTTTTTCATAGCATATTCAAAATTCATCAGAACCTACATTCTTCGCTGAATGCCACTTCCGATTTGGATGTTGCAGACGCACCTCCTCTAGGTGACGGAATTTTATTGTTCGAACTTTTCGACGTGAAGGCATAAGTGAGCTTCGCAGGCGAGCAGCGGTCTGTAAGGAAGGGCAGCGCCTCCCGGGGCGAGC